CTTTGCCTGTTATTGAGAGAAGAGTGATGCCTCTGTAGTTCTCACACTTGCTGAGATCGCCTTTCTTTGGTATTTTGATGAGGTATCCTTCTTTCCAATCTGATGGTACTTGCTCCTCATCCCAAATCTTCTTGAAGAGAATGTGAAATATTTTCGCAGTTGCTTCTACATCTGCTTTCATTGCCTCTGCTGGAATGTTGTCTGGTCCTGCTGCTTTGCCGCTCTTGATTTGTCTGATGGCCATACTGATCTCCTCAATCGTAGGTGCGCCAATATTAATTGGGAGATCCGTGGATGCTGCTTCGATGTTGGGTGTGTTCAGTGGAGCTGGTCGATTCAATAGTTCCTTAAAGTGCTCTACCTACCTATTTCGCTGTTCTTCAGTGTTGCTGATTACTTTGCCATCCTTGCTTTTCACTGGTCGTTCTGGTTTACGATAGTTTCTGGCCAGCTTCTTTGTTGTTTCGTACAATTGTCTCAAGTTCCCTTCTCTTGCAGCCTTTTCCGCCGTCACTGTTAGATCTTCCACATATTTTCGTTTGTCAGCTTTGATGCTCTTCTTCACTTGCCTGTTTGCTTCTGTGTATGCAGCTTGTGCGGTAACTTTCTCCGCTCTTGTTCGACTGACATTGATTGTTGCCTTCTTGTTCCTCCTCTCTTCAATTTTTGCAAGAGTATCAACAGAGATCCATTCCTTGTGATGGTACTTCTTGTGACCCAGAACTTCGTGACATGTTGAAGTGATTGCCTACTTAATCCCTTTCCAATTGTTCTCCAACGTTGCGTCCTCTCCATTGTGTAGATCCTGAAAGGTCTGGAATCTATTGGTGAGGGCTATCCTAAATTCATTGAGCTTTACACTATCCCGAAGAAAGGCAGTATTAAACTTGTGCGATGCTTTCTGCCCCGTTGTCCAGTGCTTCTTTAGTTTCAGTTTCATTTTGGCGATTAGCAAATGGTGATCTGAGGCTATATCAGCTCCTCTCCTGGTTCTCACATCCTCCATAGTCCTTCTGAACGTTTTGTTGATACAGATATAATCAATCTGGTTTTGAGTAGTGTGATCCGGTGAAATCCATGTAGTTTTGTGTATGCGTTTGTGCGGGAATATTGTGCCACCGATGACCAGTTTGTTGAAGGCACATAGGTTTGCAAATCTCTCACCATTTTCGTTTCTTTCTCCCAGTCCATGTCGTCCCATGATGTCTTCATATCCAGTGTCGTCCATTCCAACCTTGGCATTCAGGTCACCCATAAGAATCGTCAAATCATTTGGTGAACATTTCTCGACGATTGACTGCAGCCTTTCGTAGAATTGATCTTTAACGTCGGCATTGTAGTCATTGGTAGGTGCATAACATTGGATGACGTTCATTGTAATGTCCCGTTTCTTTGTTTTGAAGGATGCTTTAATGATCCTGGGTCCATGAGATTCCCATCCTATCAGTGCCTTTTGTGCATGTTTGGACAGCATCAGTGCAACTCCTTGTGTGTGTGAAGCATTTTTCTCTTCATGACCAGGGTATAACAGCAGTTTCCCTGGAGCTAGTCTCAGTTGTCCTGCCTGGGTCCAGTGTATTTCACTGATGCCGAGCACCTCGAGGTTATATGTTATCGTTTCTGCCGCAACTTGAAATAGTCTTCCAGTCTCCCACAATGTATGAACGTTCCATGTACCTAAAAGAATGGTTGCTGTGGTTGTCAGAAGGGGCATCGGCCCCGTGACTTCCGAGGGAACTCGCCTTTCATCACGCGACGTCATAATTCTTCTTCAAACTCCCAGGGCAGGGTTAAAATGCTTTCAATTATTTCTTCTGGTTAGCGTTTTTTGGCAAGTCGGTTTTCAGTTGAGATGGGGTCGCCAACCCCTCCTCCTTTATCCGGGCTTGGGACCAGCAGTAGTCCCGAAGGTTCTACAGGCAGAGTTACGACACTGCTTACATACATAGAAACAACGCCTATACACTATTAACAGCAAAACACAAAAAATCATTGTATTGTAATCTCCTTGCAATTCGATACAGTCTATTTTGGAACTGGTTACCAAATACTATCCGTATCTGTGACACAATCACCAATTTCAAGAAAATAGTCATGCTGTTGTTAGTCTCTAAAGAGATTTATCGACTATTCCCAGAACTCACACCAAGTCCACCAAATATTTAGATAAACCTTAGAAAACAATTACAGACTATGAACATATTGTACCCGCAAAGCCATCCATACAGGTATCACGAAATGATAGACAATTCCCCATGCTCCTACTAACAGTAATAGGTTACCACTTTGAGGTGCTACCCGTAACTTTTCTCTAAATTTAAATTGCAATCATTATTTCCTTATCTTCACAACAATTCTAGTTTCGATTCCTAGTAGACAGATAAATTGAAAAGCCTGTAGATGCTGCTCAACTACTGCCAATTACAAGGAACTCAAACTGCCTGTTTCATTCACCTTATTTTAGTCCTTAAATATTAGTCTGGATATCTGCCGAAGATGTACACAGCATTTCGTATTGTTGAACAAAACGAAAGCTTCAGTAGAAGCCCAACTTCGTCGTTGACGCCAACAAGTGCCATAGTTATTCATTCTGTACAGTTGATCACCCATTCGAGCACTATGTTAAAACAGGTAACTAGAATCTCGTTTCATCGATCTATGCTTTCTGTGAAACTCAAGCGCAGTCATTTACTTGACGGTTTCAAGATTTAGCGACACCAACCCTTTGTGCAGAAGACAAGATAGTTACTTCTCGTGATTGACGGCGTACGTTTGACTGAACACGAACTTCTTCCTGTCGACATGTACTTGTGTGCGGTATGATGAAATGCTACTTCAAAAACTCAAAAAGACCCCGTCATATTTCTCTAATCAACGACTCGTAATCCATCTATAACACCTTAAGCACAGTTGATTTGACTATAAAAGGTCGAATTTACGATGATGCTATTCGAGCAATTTGGTTACATGCTTTTCAAACCTGGTCTATCAAAGGTAGGAATGTGCCGCTCAGTGTTAACAATCTGAAAAGTCTTGGTGGCTTTCATGTTGAGTATTACTTACCGACGTCGGGAAAAACCTAAGCAATGTTCACCTTATGATATGGAGCCGTGGGGTAGAGGACAGGTGTATGAGAATAGTGCTCTTTGGTTAGCCAAAACCAACGTGGATATGATTCTAGTGACCGGATATTTCGGCGAATGCAAAAATTGTAAGGTATTATTCTCAATAGAGGCTAACGATGACCATGATATGGTGTGCTACTACGCTCCTAATAAACAGTAAAAGCCACCTTCTAACTGAACGACATCCATCTTGGTCGTGTTTTCACTTGAAATGTAGATTTCACTAGTTATAATCCCTTCTTATTTCTTCACAATACTCTTACTATTGATGAACCGTTACGTCGAGTATTGTTGTACTTTAAACAAATAAACTGTCCTAATCCTAAGGATATATTTAATAAATTAGAACAAGGTTGTGATCTTACAAGCAGTTATACAGTAGTTTGTTTTTTCCTCAAAAAAAAAACAAGATTTAAGTTTGTCAGTACATAAGAGCGGATAATTTTGAAAATATGGACAGAAAAACTTGAAGAAAAGCTTCAACTTAAACGCATAGATGTAATACAATCGCTTTCAAAAGTGAAAAACAACAAAGGCTTTTAACTTCACTTTGAATAATCAACTTTGAAACATAAATTACAGATACGATTGAAAGAAATGGAGAAATTTATTACGACCTCTAGGTGGTCAGTGTTTAACCCAAAGCGACTTAATTTACCTACGGTAGAATGAATAAATCTAAGGAATTAATTATCATAAAATTCTTTCGAACAGAAACCAGCTGACGCGGTTATTACAAATGCCCTAGTGCAGCAATGTAAAAGAAGCAACTAGCTACGACTCGGACTAAGGATCATCTCCAATAGACTGACCCATTGTGAGGATGACATCACAAACCTCGATAATATGCCACCTCTATGTAAGTCAGTCAGATGCAACGTAGATCTTCGTACGTAAGTACATCGGTTCATGTTGCCATACCACATCAGCAGAGGTAATTGTCAATTCAAATCCAATAGTAGTGGAGGTAGTAAAAGTATTAGAAGTAATCGGAGAGGTTAGGATGAGAAGATATTATTCAAGAACTATGATTCAGTGAGATAAGTTTAGAAAGTCAAAACTAGAGGGGTTGAAGAATCCAGAAGATTAGGATTTGAGAGAACACAAAGAATAAATGCATCGGCGCTATTGCAAACGGTTTTGAGCCATGTCATTCATGGTCTCTAACCATCGATTATTATCATCTCGAGGACCCCAACCAACTTGTCGACAATTACCGACATGACTCAGTCCACTTGTCAATGACTTCATGGATTGCTGCGATGTTTTGGTCTGACCGCCCCTAACTTTCTTCCAACCTACTCCTACGCCACAAAACAAAGCTCGTCGAGGCAGTCGGTGGTCAAGTATACGCAACACATGTTCCAACCACCTCAACTGGTGGAGTTTCACCACTTCATCTATCGATCTGCCATCCTTACGTAGCCCTCGTTTCCTAATAACAGCGTTGCTCACTCGGGTGTCCCAGGTTATACGAGCAATGCTTCGAAGACACCTATGATCGAAAACCAGTAACCTACGAATATCTTCTACTCTCACTGGCCATGTCTCACAGCCATAAAGTAAGACGGAGCGCCCTACTGCACAGTACACTCGTCGTTTAGTCAGCAAACGGATATCTCGCCTACGCCATAAGTGACGCAGGTTGGCAAAAACCAATCGAGCCTTCTGTATCCGAGCTGAGATTTCGTCACAAACCAGGCCATCACCCCTATGTAAGAGTGAGTGACCATGCAGTTCGAGTCTTTGATTTCACATCAACGTTATCCTAGTCCGCAAAGTCTGTACAAAATGTGAACTGTGAAGCTCTTTACTAGAATTAATGAAACATCTTAACAAGTATTTTGAACTTGGATGATTATATATATTACACAACTATATGGCAGGAATCTTGTAACCCATGTGAACTGACACAATACCATTTGAGTAATTAGCCCAATCAACACTGTCGAATCTTGACTGTGAAATTATATACGCGAATTCCTTCTGATCAGGAAATTTACGAATGCTTTCAACCAAATATTTGTATGAACCCCAGTCGCCTGCAACAAGTTGACCAATTACGGGAATTAACTGCATAGAGTATGCATTATATAAGCTGAAACCAGAATAAATATTTAGCAAAGTTATAGCAAATAGAAAATTATGATTTTAAAGCCTATTCCTATACCATAACCAATTCGCATATTCACCTGGAGCGTATGAAGGCAAACAAAGGACGACCTGATCATAGAACTAGTGTTAGAAAGAGAACATTAATCCTATTTATAACATTAAAGAGGACAACTATATTTGTAAGTCTCAACGATTGAAATTTATAATATTTACATTGGTAATAATAACTGGATTAATTCAGCCATCCACCCTAGCAATCTCTTAACTATGCAAAACACATACGAATTACACTACTACATTACACTGAACTAGAATATGGTGCATATTTATATCAGAAACTTAGAGGATGGCTGCAGAATCTCTATACACCGATTAGTTTGTAGTAAATCGATTGTGAACGGTTTCAAGTCAAAGATATCCACTAAGTTGATTTAAATCCATTATAAAGACTGCATTAGATAACCATGCTTAATTTACAGACCAGTTTCTACAGTGGTATCTATGATGCATGGAACGTGCCAGTATCAAGGTGTAGTTGGCCTAGTACAACAGCAGATTAGTCCTATTGATAGGGCATTTAAAACTGATCTTCACTATAAAATGAGTGACCCAAAGCTTGGAAGAGTGAGTATAGATTTTGAAATAGCTTAGAAAAATGTTCACTATGGTATAGCCTTTTAGGTTTGTTTAGCCGATCGATAACTAAATCTGATTAAGGTCACACAGAAGACACATGAAGCATTTATCGGTCAAGCGGAAATTCAATGACAATATCTTAACGAAAATACCAATCGTGTGAATAGAGAATGAGTTGCTTAAGGAGATGACTAACTTTCGGAATATGTCATTTTCAACTTTGCTGAACTCTAAACAGTAAAATCGACCCCACGGACGTAACACTCGATGAGCTTCTGCTACAACCTAAGAAAGATTATTTGCGTATACATGATTTTACCTTTTCAATGTGTGTGCAATTTCGGATCCCAAAAGCAATGGTATATACGTCAAATGAACCATCATTAAACGGTAACTTTTCAGCGTTTCCTTGCACCCACTGAACTTAGAAAAATATAACAACATAAATGTCAGAACAATGACCATACTTGATGAGAACCCTAATTCTTCTGCACGTAATTTGCCCACCTCCATCATAGATGGACTAATATCACAAACTGTAATGTTTTGACCAGTAACGGGTTTTGTATTCATACTTTTCGATACCCCATTAATATGTTTAGCATATTTAATTAATCTAAAAGCAATATCACCTGTGAAGATTAAGATCACATGTAAACATGAATAAATAAAACTAACCTGTCCCGCCTGCAACATCTAAATACTTTAACTTATCTGTTGGCATAATTTGGTTTACAAAACAATCTTTCCATAAACGATGAATACCAAAACTCATTACATCATTCATCAAATCATATTTCTTGGATACATTTTCAAACACATGATTTACTAGTCAAGATAGAGGTGACAGGTTAACCAAAACTTACCTTTCGATTGTTTATCTTTGGTTGCTACTGTTTCGAACCCAAAATGTGTGGTTGATAGGAAGCTTTTCCGTACACCCACTAAACAAAACTTATGAAAAGCATTTTGGATGGAGCATAAACGAACCCTCATCTCTTGAAATAGGCTGTAATAGATAATAAAAGAGTTGTACGTCTGATAGATCTTTCTAGAGCTATTGTGACACAGGATGATTTAGAAATCGGGTTTTTAGTTTAAGTTTCCATTCAACTTAACATTTTATGGTCTAGTCTGCTACCTAATATTAAGACCGTACTGAGCTAATCGAGGTGCTACTGATGCTTAAAAATATTCATCTTCATCTGTTATGAAATATTTTGAATGCACTCAAGTTTTTGATGTCAAAATGGTAAATAGAATACTGTTCGTTAGATGATACACAATGACTGATAACCACCGACGGGACTAAACTAGTTACCTAGCCCCTTCCCTAAAGAAAATATAGCAGGAGTCGCGAAAAAAATACAAATTGTCAGCACAATAGGTACTTACTTAATTCAGCCTGTTAACCTTCTTAGAGCATAGAGGCCGATCAAAAATCACCAACAAACTCTATCCTGGACTCTCTTTGCCAGGTTTTTCCGCGTGCTACTAATTTCTCTGGTGTCCATCTCCAATTCACGGTGTCGTATCCTCTGGCCTGCCTCGCTTCCTTTTGCTTTGAGAATTCAAAGTTAGGGCTTGCTTTGTAGTGCAGTTTGATGATTCCCACAATGTGTATACAATCCACCTTCAGTCTTTTTCTAACTTCGTCCTCAGCTGGAGGTTCGCTTGCTCTCTACCACAGTAGGTGATTGGTGACAATTTCAGACAACAGTTTGTTAACACCTGCGCACTTTTGATAGTAGTAGTGGCTCATCAACTTCCAACTCCACACAACAAAACTGTTTTATCGTTGTTCAGAATTCTGACTTGAATGTTGGCTGAAATTTGTTTTGACCTCCAATTTTAGAGCTGCTCGACTTGCTTTACCAATCTATGGTCTTCAGATCTCAATCGGATCTTCATTGTTTACCGATGATGCTAGCCATGTATATAAAGGTTTCCACCTCATACCGAGCTTCGCCGTTAAGAGTGATCCGGTGAAATCCATGTAGCTTTGTGAATGCGCTTGTGTGGGAACGTGCCGCCGACGACTAGTTTGTTGAAGGCACATAGGTTTGAATCCCCACCATCTTCTTTCAATTCTACCAGTCCATGTCGTCCCATGATGTCTTCATATCCAGTGTCGTCCATTCCAACCTTGGCATTCAGGTCACCCATAAGAATCGTCAAATCATTTGGTGAACATTTCTCGACGATTGACTGCAGCCTTTCGTAGAATTGATCTTTAACGTCGGCATTGTAGTCATTGGTAGGTGCATAACATTGGATGACGTTCATTGTAATGTCCCGTTTCTTTGTTTTGAAGGATGCTTTAATGATCCTGGGTCCATGAGATTCCCATCCTATCAGTGCCTTTTGTGCATGTTTGGACAGCATCAGTGCAACTCCTTGTGTGTGTGAAGCATTTTTCTCTTCATGACCAGGGTATAACAGCAGTTTCCCTGGAGCTAGTCTCAGTTGTCCTGCCTGGGTCCAGTGTATTTCACTGATGCCGAGCACCTCGAGGTTATATGTTATCGTTTCTGCCGCAACTTGAAATAGTCTTCCAGTCTCCCACAATGTATGAACGTTCCATGTACCTAAAAGAATGGTTGCTGTGGTTGTCAGAAGGGGCATCGGCCCCGTGACTTCCGAGGGAACTCGCCTTTCATCACGCGACGTCATAATTCTTCTTCAAACTCCCAGGGCAGGGTTAAAATGCTTTCAATTATTTCTTCTGGTTAGCGTTTTTTGGCAAGTCGGTTTTCAGTTGAGATGGGGTCGCCAACCCCTCCTCCTTTATCCGGGCTTGGGACCAGCAGTAGTCCCGAAGGTTCTACAGGCAGAGTTACGACACTGCCTACATACATAGAAACAACGCCTATACACTATTAACAGCAAAACACAAAAAATCATTGTATTGTAATCTCCTTGCAATTCGATACAGTCTATTTTGGAACTGGTTACCAAGTTGTGGCCGTTCGTATACAACGAACTGTGGGAGAGAACAAACCAGATTCCAGTGGATGAGGAAATCAGGAAGAAGCGGTGGAAGTGGATAGGACACACACTACGAAAAGCACCTAACTGCGTCATGAGACAAGCCCTCACATGGAACCCTCAAGGCAAAAGGAAAAGAGGAAGGCCAAAGAATACATTACGCCGAGAAATAGAGAAAGATATGAGAGGAATGAACAAACATTGGACAGAACTGGAGAGAGAAGCCCAGGACAGAGTTGGTTGGAGAAAACTGGTGGGCGGCCTATGCTCCATTGGGGGTAACAGGCGTAAGTAAGTTAGTAAGTAACTGGGAGTTTGAAGAAGAATTATGACGTCGCGTGATGAAAGGCGAGTTCCCTCGGAAGTCACGGGGCCGATGCCCCTTCTGACAACCACAGCAACCATTCTTTTAGGTACATGGAACGTTCATACATTGTGGGAGACTGGAAGACTATTTCAAGTTGCGGCAGAAACGATAACATATAACCTCGAGGTGCTCGGCATCAGTGAAATACACTGGACCCAGGCAGGACAACTGAGACTAGCTCCAGGGAAACTGCTGTTATACCCTGGTCATGAAGAGAAAAATGCTTCACACACACAAGGAGTTGCACTGATGCTGTCCAAACATGCACAAAAGGCACTGATAGGATGGGAATCTCATGGACCCAGGATCATTAAAGCATCCTTCAAAACAAAGAAACGGGACATTACAATGAACGTCATCCAATGTTATGCACCTACCAATGACTACAATGCCGACGTTAAAGATCAATTCTGCGTAAGGCTGTAGTCAATCGTCGACAGATGCTTACCAAATGATTTGACCATTCTGCTGGGAGATTTTGAAGAGTGTAAGCTTAGCCTCACTTGTCAAGAAATTCTTATTTATAAACCCAATTAGCCGTCTGGATTTTGAGATAATATTTGAGGTATGTTCTTCGAATTTTAGGCTTTTAGAGTAACTAATACCCAGGTCACGCGTTGATATAAGTGTCCGAATCCTACATTTTTGTAAGTAGAGTTTTATGTCATGGTGATGCTTACTAAAATGCATGTTGCCGCATTTGTTGTGGTTAAACGGTAGCTGCCATGTTTTGCTCCAGGTAGTTAAGTTATCAAGACCACTCTGAATCTTAGCTATATTTTCGTCCAGATCTTCAGGCTTATAGCTGTATACTATTTCCAGACTATCAGCATGTAAGTATGCTCTACCAAATCTTATAGTATTACAAGAGTGGACCTAATACACTTCCCTGGATAACTCCACTGGTTACTGGTCATGGTGATGAAAGACATTCGTTGTACTTAACCATTTGTTGTCGCCCATTTAGGAATGAAGCAAACCATGGATGTAGTGTGTTAATGATTCCGAATGACTTTAGTTTAGGGAGAAGCTTTTTGTGTGAGACTTTATCAAAAGCCTTTTTAAAATCGAAGAAAAAGAACTGACACTAGAAGCCCTTTGTCTTGTTTATGCGTGCTATCGTTGAAATAATCTAACAGACGTGTATCACACGACCTGGCCCTCAGGAACCCATGGTGTGAGATCGATATCAGATTGTGACTAAGTAGATGTTGTATTATCTCTGCCTTAACTACTTTCTCCATAACCCTAAATACTACCGAAGTCATGTTGATGGATCGGTAATTTTCAACGTTAACTGTAGGCCCATATTTAATTGTCGGAATGATATGTGCAGTCTTCCAGTTATTAGGGTAACGCTGTAGAGAGTCATATAGTATATGGTTTAAGGACAGTAGCACACAGATCATTGCTTCAGTGTACTGATCGCCTTAGGAATGTTCTGTACACTAAAGTTAACACTTGCGATTTCCCAGGAAGGGATTTGGGTCAAGTGTAATTCATTTGTTGGGTTTTCGTTTGTTAATCTAGCACAAAAATGTTCGCTAAACAGCTCTGCGATACTTCTCCGGTGTTCATACAATTGGTTGTCCTTAATAAATATGTTCCATCCTTTCAATTTAGAGCAGTTAAGTTTATTTCAAAGAAGTTTTATAAGCGCAGAGGATTCATTGTTCACTTGAACAGCACGCTTTTCCTTTGCGATTGCCTTTTTAGTGCGTGTTATTTCTGCCTCGACACATATTTCAGTCATCGTTACTAATGAGGAGAAGTCATTACAGTTATGATGTCTGGAAGCATGTCTTCGAAGACGTTTTCGTATATGACCTGGCATATATAAGTCCTTAGGTATTCTGGGTCTCCAGGATCCTAAGGGTGCATATTTATTGAAAACGCTATTTGTGTTGTGATAAAATGCATTCATTAGTTCGTCGATATTATGTGCAGCAAAGTCCAGTCAATTCTTCTGAGGAAATTTCGGAAGTTTGACCAATCAGTCCTACGAAAGTCCCTACGAAGTGTAGTGGATTTACATTTTATGATTGTAGCTCCTATATCAAGGCTGCATATGACCATATTATGATCGCTACATGGGAACATTTTTCCAACATATACATTGTGAGGAATGAGAGTGCTGGTGAAAACTAAATCCAATGTATTTTGATTTCTGGTTGGGCCGTTAACATGTTGAGTCCACTCTCCATGCTCTAAGCATTGAATAAACGATTCGAATCGTCTAGGTGCTTTGATTGGGAACCAAGTGATTTCAGGCATGTTGAAGTCCCAACAAACAGCCTTGCGTGTAAACGGTAGGGATGAAACAAACGTGAATACTTCTGATAATAATGCTAGATCTCCTGTTGGTGCATGAGGCTGACGGTAGACACAGCCGAAGGTAGAACTGCCTTTGATAAGGAACTATGGAACAAGTACTGTGCGATGCTCGGAGGGTGCAACACTTTGGCCAAAATATGCCGCATTTTTGAAGGCCAGAACGTTACAAGAAAACCCCTCCAATGAGGGTAACACTAGACTCGGCACAACTTGATGGAGACATCCTCCTTACATCTTAGAGACCGTCGGTTAAATTGTACTCCCCGATCCGAATCACGCACGATAAACCGTGGTCACTACGATCGGC